ATTTGATATATTCTTTAACCAAAAAGAGTCTTTATTAGTTGTAATTCAGAATTATATTCTGTAGAGAATTTGATCATAGGATAATAAAAATTTTGTTTAAAGTAAACTAAAAGTTTAATCTAAATATTTAGAATTGGATTATGAAGTCAATCTTTAAAAAATTCTCATTTTTTAATATATGTTTTGGGTATATTATTTTATGTTTTAAAATAAAATAAAACCTAATTCATAAACTGTATATGAATATTTCTTTAATCTAAATATTGCTTAGCACATATCAATTTATAAAGCTATCTTGATCAAATTAACTGTTGATATTTCATTAATTTATAATGAAATTGGTTTTTATAAAGTTTATAAATATAATTTAATCAAATTTCCATTAGTTTATCTTTGTCAGTTTTGTCATAACCATCATGAAGATCCCATATCAAATATAATAAATTTATTGAAAATTTTTTTTATAAAAATTTATTTATATTAGATAATTTGTCAAAGGCAACTTCTTTAAAATTATTCATAATAATATATATAATATGAAGCTTACATAGAATTTAAAATATATTAGTACTATTTATCTTATTAAATAAAGCAATTATGCCTTTAGCTTTATCATTCATGTAATTAGTATTATCTAAAATACAAATATGATATTGTTAAAAATTTATTTGATAATGATTAAGAGTGTTATATATAGCTTGAGCCACTAATTTTTTTGAACAATTTGCTAAATCTTTCATTTTTAATACATAAAAATCTGATTTGTTATTTGTTAAATTTTAGAATATAATACATAAAACAAATATTTTTTGTTGATCTTATGTTGATTTATCTACCATTATTCTAAAAAAAAAAATTCTGAAAAATTATTTTATTTAAAATTTTGATTTATATAGATCTTACTAATCTTCTTATTTTATTGAACAATTGATTGTTGTAAAATTGGTATTAACAAATCATTTTTAGATAAAAAATCCAAGATCATTCAAGTAGCTTGAATTATATTTTGAAATGAAATTTGATCGATTTGTAATACTTGTATTGCCATATTGATAAATTAAGTTGTGTATTCATATTTATTTTTTATAAACATAACTTAAATACTTGTTTTTAAGCTTTGTGAGTCTAAAACTTGAGATTTACAAGCAATTGCATATATTTTTGAGATATTCTAATGTTAATTATATTTAAATTGAGTTATTAATTTTGCCAATTGAGGGTGTGGTAACTTAGTGAAGTGAATAAGTTGTCAACCCTCCAAGTAGTAGGTTGTGAGTTCAAAACTCACAGAAGGCAAAAATTTGAATAATCACCTATGTAATATTCATATTACAGCAACTGTTCCTAACGATTGGGTTAAGATACCTGTAATTATGGTTGCACCAGCATAACTGGCAGGTCATGGGACATCTGTGTAATTGGCTATACAGAGGAATGCAAACTGGCATCAGGCAGTGCAAACCCAAAATAAGTCCTTGTGGCTGTGTAAATCAGTAGAAATTGGTGAACAAGAAGCCCACTTAGGAAGACCTGAATAAAGAAGTAACATGGATCTTCAACAGTACTACTGTAAAGGCTAGATCTAGGAAACAGATACCAATGCAGAGTATCTGGACAGACAAAAACCTCTGAGTGGGAGGTACTACTAACCAGGGTGCCGAAAGTCCAACTGGGAGGACTGGAGAAAAAGGATATCAGGCTGACCTGATATACCAATGGACTGGTCATAGTCCTATCAGGCTATCTGGATTGGGAGTTTAAAGAAAAAGCAGGTGTATACTAAAAATACTAGAGATATGCTATGAAGTAAATGCTAGAGTCTGAGTAAACTCTGCAAAGGCAAGTTCTATTAATGTTTTGTAAAGTGGGTAGGTAGTTAACAGAGAGACCTCTGGAGCCTTATAGTTAGGTGTCATGCTCTGAAAATAATTGTATAACAGCTTGACAGACATACAGAAGAAAGGCTAAATGTTAGATTAGATAGCACTTAAGTATACAGGAACTGAAGCACTAATTGCCTAGATGCAGTATAGGAATTAGAATGTTTAATTAGATAGTCTCCTAGTAGATTATAGGTATAGCAGCTAGTATAGAACCCTTGGGTGGACTACTTAAATAGGTAACCAAAAATTATATATGTAACTAGTTGTATGCTCATCCTGTACAAGTAATATATAATATATTCACTAAAAATACAATAAAGACATTAGCCGCCATTAACATCAGCCTTTAAACAAAAAAAAAAAAAATTTTTGCCAATTGCTTAAGTTTATAACTTTTTTGAATATTAGAATATTCTAATTGATTTATTTTTTTTTTAAAGAGTTTTATTTTCTTAAATTAATAATTTTAAGTCTTGACTTACTTTGTGAAATAAAGAATTTATATAATTTAATGTCTTATTTTGTATGAATAGGAAAAATAAATTACCTTTTTGTGACCCTTTGGAATATTTCATTATAGTTAACATATGACTTGCAGATTTTAGTTAATCATCTAACAATTGTTTGATAGTTTCAATTAACTTTTGATGATATGTAATTTAAATTACTTTTTTGTTACTAGTTAATTGAATAATATCTTGATAAATTAGTTCTAATTTATTATTGTTTATTTGTAATAATGCTTTATTGATAGTTTGGATTTGTTCATCACATTTAACAGTTTTTCATACATTTACTGACACTTGATTAGCTTTATATGTTTGAAGTTTATGCTTGGATAGTCTTAACATTTGGTCTATTATATATATTACAATTAATATATATTTTAAACTGTTTCAGTATGTCTTTTTTAATATGTATTTATCTTCAAATTTTAGAACAAGTTTAAAAATGGTTTAAAGATCAAAGTTATGTTTAAATATTTGCTAGGTTATATAAATTTGAGTGTTCAATTTTTTAAAAACCTAAAATTTTTTAAAATTTTTAAAAATATTTTTTTTAATCTAACATATAATAATAATTTTAAAAGCTTTCAAAAAAAAAAGATCGTAATTACATTGAACTGATTTACAAGATAATTCTCAGTTGAAAGTACCAAGAAAAAAGAAGAAGGTGATCATGGGAATCATTTAGAATTTTTCACCTTACTTTATATTTAATATATTTAAAATGATTTTTCACTGATCTTTTTAATTTCGCTAATAAAAAATTTACATAGGTTTGATTAAATATGCCGTATACCACCATGCCTAATTTTAAAGTAAAACCTGACCCGGCCCGCTACTTCGGGCTTTTTATTTGTCTAGGCCGGGCCCGGGCTTAAAAATATTTTTCGGGTTTGGTTTCGGGCCCAGCTTTATAGGCTAACTTTCTTCTGATTGGTCAATCACTTATAATTGCATTTATACAGTTTTAGAGTACTTATTAAGAATATAACATTTCACAAGTAAAAAATGAACAGTTCTTCAAAAAAAAGGTAAACCGTTTTGCTGAGTTATTTGTATATAGTGTTTAAAACATAGTGTAAAGGACTTTTTACGTATTACGTATGTAAAACCGGTTAAAGATTTTTATTGGCTCATTGTCACATGCTGGAGCACCTGGCCAATCATAGTGCAAGATTCTAATTGGCTGACGTGATATGCATATTCACGTGATAGTAAAATTTTGTTGCCGAAACATTCATTTTTGATACTTCCCTAAATTTCTATATGTTTAGATGCATCAAAAAAGTGTAGGTGTAGGATCAAGATCTAGTGTGGACCGTAACAACCAATCATAGTGTAGTCATGTGGCGGACAGACGGACATTTTCAACGCTTCTGACAAGTGTAAGATTATTCGTTTAAAAAATTTTTTTAACATAATTTATATGATCATATGATCTGTGTCACCGTCGATTTGAAAATAAATTGATTCTCTTCAAATCCAAGTTGTTTCCTCCTTTCGATTGCCTGGCTTGGTTTGTTAAAATGGTTAGTATATATATAACCACATCTTTGCAATGTAAAACTATACACATTTAAAATGAATGTTTTTGATGAGATTCTAAAAAAAAAAATCAATCGATCATATGGATGGACAATTCGATTTAGAAAAAAAATTTTAATCATTAGCAAAGATATAAAGATATACATAAATTTGGATCGTAAAAATTAAAAAAAAAAAAATTCTCTTTCGGATTGCCAAAGGTTAACGTTCCGAAGACCAGAAATACCTATTGCAAGGGTAAAAATTGTAGAAAACATACCCTTCACAAAGTCTCTCAATATAAAAAGGGTAAAGATTCATTATACGCTCAAGGTATGCTATTTTTTACATTCTGTTTAAACCATTAAGGTTATTATTTTTAATAAATTGTACATTATATCTTGTTTAAAATAGGAAAAAGACGTTATGATCGTAAACAATCCGGTTATGGTGGTCAGACCAAACCAGTCTTTCATAAAAAAGGTAACGAAAAAGTTTAATAAATTAGTTTCTTTTACATCACGATATAACAAATGGTTTAATGTATATTTCAGCCAAAACTACTAAGAAAATCGTCCTTCGTTTAGAATGCCAGAGTTGTAAGGTATAGTACCGTTTTAATTGTTGCCCACTTTAAATCAATTTGTTATTTAATGATCTCAGTCATTATTATTCTCAAAGTATAAACATCAAGTAGCGATCAAAAGATGCAAGCATTTTGAACTCGGAGGTGACAAAAAGGTAAAAACTTTTTATCTCAAATGGTTTTTATTCTTTCTATTGACTTTTATTTATTTATTTTTTTTTTTTAAGACCAAAGGCGCTGCACTTGTTTTCTAATATACAAAATCAATATATATATTTATATATATATTTACACTCTAAATGTCGGTTAATACATGATTTTCAACAAGAAACATCTTCGTTTGCAATTGTATCAAAGTTTATTGTAAAACTTTTTTTAACGAAAAGCAAAGATTACAATTAGAATTTCAGACATAACATCAATGATTATTATTATTTATTGCTTAATTTTTTTGATTAGTATTCTAAGAGATTAAGTAGAATGAAACAAATTCGATACTTCTCAATTGTCCCAATTTGATTGCAAATGCTGACTATTTCCAGAAAATGTATCTTCGTAAGACCATTTTCCATTTTCCAAATCGTCATTTGTGTAGTCATAATACCATCCATTATCATTAGCCAAATCATTAGCCAAATCATCAGCCAAATCATCATCTCCGTAGTCATAATGCCGTCCATTATCATTAGTATCATCAGCATTCCAATCTGATTCCATTTCAGATGCATCGTTTGTGTGCCAATCATATTCGTCGTTTTCTTTTTTTGGTGAATCAAGTTTATATTCTACATGTGCAAGTACCTCATCTGCATTTAGTAATGTAAAATCTGTGCTGGAATCAAGTATCTCCAACAAATTATCTCTAGTTTTACAAAGTTGCCTAATTCGATGTATATCCCAAAGATAGTCGATTTTAACACAGTTCTTTTTTTGCTGCTGTTCTAGTTCGCTCACAACCGGATTACAAAGGAATTTCATGTAGTAATGAATAACTTCGAGAATCTCGGACGTGCTTTTATCAGGCTCATCGTAAATCGGGAACACTATTTGATCTATGTGATCATAACTTCCAAAATCGGATAATAAAGGGTTGTCATTTGAACGCAAATCTCGAAATATGGCGACTTGTGTAGCGAATCCTACTGCTGGATCGCTATCCTTTAATGTACCAACCCCAGTATACTCAACAGAATAATTGTATTTTGCCGCACCTGCGTTACCCCTTAAAACAACATTATCTTACATAAGTTGGATAATAATAACATTCTAATTATATTGTTACTACCAAACTCACCATTTCTGAAACTCGCTCCTAGTCCATTCAAATTTATGATCATCAATTCTGAACAGTGCTTCTGGTGTTCCATATTTTAATTGTGGGAAATAAACATTAAATTCCGCATTAGGTGTGGTCACGATCACAACTTTGGGTTTATAAGTTCCAAGAACAACTTTAAAAAATTTGTTCAATACTGGTGGATAAACATGTTCTATTCTTGTATGAAGGATAATCGAAACAGAGTTCAATAACCAAAATATGATTTTAAAAATAATAATAATTGATGTTGGAATACGAATGTCTTACACTTCCGAGCATACTAAAGCCTCAAATCCTAGTAACCTTTCGTCAGCAACATCAATACTTCCTAAGAATCAAACAATTCCTTTGTTCAATATAAAAAACGTGTATTTCTTTTTCTTTAAACCTAATCATTAAGCACACAATCATCCTATCCTCATTTATCACCTTGATATATGTCTATTGTCAGGGGGGTTAACCTTAAATTATCAAAGTCTTCTTTTCTCGGGCGACAATTATCCACAGTGTATTTCAGTGTTTCCTGACTGATATCTACTCCAGCAAGATGCGTGATCGGTGATTTTTCCCAAGGTTGAACAAGAAAAGAAAGGAGTGAACCTTCTCCACAACCAAAATCAACCACCTAATTCCCAATTAAACATCAATAGATGCATATTAATCGATCTTTTATCTAAAAATATCGCTTCTTAGAAATGATGAATTCTTCACAATAATTTACCGAAGTAACTTTACTCTCTTGTAGCACAAGGTTAATAAGAATTCTCCTTTGTAGCCATAAAGGAGGGTTAAAACAAATCCATTCACTATCTTCATTACTTGCCATATTTTTATTTAATCGTATCAAATCAAATGTTTGAAAGTTAAAAATACTTTCTACATGTTTAACGTTAATGATAATATTGTAATGATCTAATGGTTGTACAAATTTTCACATGAAAGGCTTGAATTTACCTGTAGGTGTAACCTATTATTTCTTTTATATATTGATATATACACAGGATATACTTTTTCTATTTTTAGATGGCTATTTCCATGGAAACGGATGTTCCCTTTTTCTAGACAGAAAGCACAAGGGTATTTCCTATTACATCATATCGATAGTATTAAATGGATAGCGGTAGCAGTTTAACAGTTTTAATTTGCTCAGTAATCATTGGCCATTTTCTTTGTTTAAAAATAAAATACAATAGAATTCTTTATCGTCGTGTAACAATAGAATGTACTAATAAATACCCATGCTGGTTGGACGAAATCCTCCTTTTTCTTCAGAACTATCTAAATTATATACAAAAAAAATTTTAAAATCGTTTATTAGGTGTGAAGTTTTTTGAGTTTCGCAAACAATACTAGCGGATTTTTAGAAGTTTACTGAAATATTGTACAGTAGATTTAAATAACATACAGTAATGTCGCTATTAAAAATTCCAAATTCTCGGTCTTCGCCATCACGTGCTTCGTCATCCAAAGAGTCTTCAGGTGATCTAGGAGACTTCTCACCTCTTTGGTCTTACTTACAGAATGACAATCAAGATATTAACAGTTTAGGAGATTTCGGAAAGTTATGGCGATTTCTACAAGGGGAGAGAGAGAAATGGTGTAATTCTGGTTCTGCCTCTATTGAGGACATTGACGGTTTTTTGACCTCAAGCGGTCAACCATCATGTGAAGGAAAACAACCTCCGGTATTACCTCACTCTTCTTCTTCTGAATATTCTTCTGAAGAAGAGATCTTAATCGCTAAACATAAAGCGATCAAAGTAGTACAGCCATCAAAGAAGAAAGTTGAAGGTGTCGTGGTCGTTACCGTAAATAAAGGTAACGAAAAGGTGACGAACAAGAAGGGTAGGAAAGGTAAAAAACAATCAGAACACAAATCGAATAAAGACAATGTAAAAACAGTAAGTTTTACAATTGTTCATGTCTTTGAATTATGTAATTCCTTCTTTATAATGGTATATTAATTTTCATTTCATTTAATAGATTATAAATAATGGCAATAAAAAAGTGCATTTTGAAAATGATGTAAATTCATTAAATAATCAAAAACAGCAAGAACCAGCTTTTCTCGTAAACAATCAAAAAATGAATGATAGGATCAATTCAAAAATGGCCTTCAAATTTAGCGTACCGATCCCAATTAAGATATCAGATGATCCTATCCATGTTTTTATTGATAATTCCAACATTCTCTTTGGGTTCTTGGCATACTGTCGGCAACAAAGTCTCATAAATCGTACCCAAAACTCTCAAGACGTTTTGGAAAAAAAGAAACCCATGTTAGAATATGATGCGCTCTTTACCATTCTCGAACGTGGGAGAAACATTGCACGCAGAGTTTTAGTGGCTTCCTCTCCATTATACCAACCACTCGACAAAGCCGCTCAAACCGGTTACGAGGTTTCGGTTCTTAAGCGCGTGAAAAGAAGTATTTTTGACGATGATGTAAACACGCAACAATTAGATCATAATGTTAGTGGCTATCAACAACCACCACCTTTCGAGATGGAAAAAGAACAGTGTGTTGATGAACTTCTCCATCTCAAGATCTTGGAATCCTTACTCGATTATCATGCGCCTGCCACTTTAGTCCTCGCTAGCGGCGATGGCAAAGATGCAGAATATTTCCAAGGAGGATTCCACAAGTGCATAATTAAAGCTTTGGAACGAGGATGGAAAGTCGAAGTCATTAGTTGGCAACGTCAGTTAAGCCAAAACTTCCTGAACAAAAAGTTCTTGAGCAAGTGGAAGGGCCTTTATCATGTCGTCTTTTTGGATTGGTTCGCCAAGGAGTTGGGGTGCGACTCGTGATGTAGTCTATTAAAAAGCTTATAAGCTTAGCCGAGTCGACAATCCTAATACGGCTAAGCCGGCTTAGTTTGTTATTATATCAAAAAAATTAAATCTGCCATTAATTTGAAAATATAGCATTGATTTGCAAAAAAAAGAAAAACTAATTTGATTTGTAAAATTTACTGTACATAAATTTTATAGAACTGTTATAATACGTACACTGTTGTAAGCATTACAAGTAATTACGATTATTTTGTAAATTGAAACTTTTTTTTTCGACAATACAAGATAGAATTGATAATCAATATAATTTAAAGCGATGTTAGAAAATTGCTGTTGAAGCTTACTAAAACAATTTGCGTTAGAAGGTTGTTGCTAGTTAAATAATTGATGCTTAATTCTAATACTCTTGTAAATTAAACCTAATAAACTAGCACTTGTTAATAAATTTTCATTTTTGGTAGAAATTATAACTCATCGCCCAATACATTTCTTCCCTCAAATCAAATAAAAGTTTTTTTTTAGCAGCCGAATTTAAAAGAATAAGTTTAGGTAAAGTATCATTTTTTACCCAAGGAATTTCTCGCATCTAGGTTGGATTGGCTGAGTTGATCCAATCTTCAATCTAATTAGACCTGTTTCAGATTTTACGTTTGGTTGCTCTAGATCTATACTTCTGGCTGTTCCAAATCTATTGACATTATTTTAAATCACCCCTTGCGATGATCTCAATGCAAAAATTTAATTCGAAAGTATCTATACATTAATCTATTAACTACCTATCCATAGTAAAAAAAGTGATAGGCATGTTAAGATCTTATGTGCTTGAATTATATTTTGATTGAATAAAATTATATAACATAAATAAATATTTGATAAAGATTTTTACAAACTAGCAGATGTACTTTACAAGGATCCCGACACTCAAAATCCTGACAACAAACACGAACCTAGCATAACCACCAAAATCAGCAACGACCCTAGCATAGCCATCAAGATTAGTTACGTAACGGTAATCGGTATTTACAGAATTCTGACGATTAATATCGAATACATAACAAAGTAAAAAGAAAAAAAAAAGTGAAATTTCACGTTAATAATTTTCTATCCTATTAATATATTGAAAGTGTTTACAGAAAGAAATACTTTAGACGACTTTTATTTCCTGGTATGAAAAAAAAAGTTCAACACAATTCTTTATTTAGGAAATAAAATGTAGTTTTATTTCTTCTATTCCATGTTTTTGGAAGACTCTTCGCACGCTTCTATAGTTTATCATTTTTTGATTCAATATTTTTTAAACGTTAAGTTTTTTTTATTATGAAAGGTCAAAAGACTTTTCGAGATTATGTGTATATCCAATAACTTCTATGTGAATAAAGTACAATTAATGTATTATACTTCGTAATATAATTTTCTACAATTCTAATTCAGTTTCAATTTTTTTAGTATCTGCCTCATCCGCTTCAGCTATATTATTATATTCAGAAATTCAATTGGTATTAACGTACAAATTAATTGAATATAACAGCTAAATTATTGGAATTTTAATCAATGGATATAGAAATTTTATAATAAATACATATATATCTTTGAAGAAATAAACATCTATTTTCCTAAGAGGATTAATAAAAAAAACTGCTTATTAAAAAATACATACAAAGAAATATGTACTACTTATTATTTATTGACATTTTTCAGTGTTTTTGATAATACATATAGTAAGATTTTTTCATTTTTTTTTTAAATTATTATGCACGAAATCTATAACTTCTTTGAGTGTTTACAGGTTTTTTTATTAGTGTTATTTAAATATAAAAAAAAATTATGTTTTATTTTTTTTAAACAAATTTTTTGTGTTTAAAGATCATACTTTATAATGTTATTTTATTAACATATGTTGGGTTAATTGTTACAATTATTTTTACAGAGATAAGAGTACAGCTAGTTATACATGCAACTTTTGGTTACTTATTTAAGTAGTCTGTTTTAGGCTTCTATACTAGATGCTATACTTATGAACTACTAGAAGATTATTTATTTAAACTTTTTGATTATCTGTTAATTATTTAACTATTACAAACTTTCTATATATACTTAACCAGTATATTGTCTAAACAGCACAGTATTTTCCTTTTTTGAACTAGTATTCAGGTTATTACATATTTTAAAATATAATATCTGCTAGTAGACTTAGAGAGTTTTTCTTGTTAACTACTTATTTACTTTATAGATTATTAACAAGAATTTGCTTTTATAAAGTTCACTCATATTTTAAACATACTTTATAGCATATTTTTAATATTTTAGTATGTTTTTATTTTGTTTTTAGATTTTTAATCTAGATAACTTAAAAAGATTGTAATCTGTTTTTAGTATATCAAGTTTGACTTGATATCTTTTTTTTTAATTCAAACCTAGTAGTCTAGTTAGTAGTACCTGTTTCTTAGATCTAGTTTTTATAATGATATTGTCAAAAATCTGTATTATTTTTTATTTAGATCTTTTCCAAATAGGTTTTAGTTTTTTTAGTTTTACAGATTTAAACAATCACTAGAACTTATCTTGGATTTGTACTGCCTAGTACTAGTTCACATTCTTTATTATAATTAAAATTGTATATATGTTTTATAACTTGATAGTTATACTAGTATAATTATAAATACAAATATTTTATTTTAACTAATTAATAAAATGGTATTAAATTGTTAACCTTCAAGTGGCAGGTCTAGAGTTCAAATTCTAGTATCAGTAAAAACCAGTTTGCATTTTTTTGTATAATTTTAATATTGCACAGATGTCTCATAACCTGTTAGTTATGCTAGTATAATCATAGTTACAGATATCTTATCTTAACTAATTAACAAAATGTTGTTGTTATAATACTGCCTATATATTACATAAAAGATTAATCAAATTTTTTTTTTTTTAAATATTAAGATGAGTACTTGTGACTCAGGATTTTATTAATAGTATATTTAGTTAATAGGTACATTACAATCACAAAGAGCAATCATGAAAAGAGTATATAACTAGTCACTCGTACAACTTTAGTCATTGTCTAATTTAAGTAGTCTATTTGAAGATATTATACTAGTTGCCATATCTGGAACCTGCCTGTAAGTTCTCTATTTAACTACTCTAGTTTCTGTATTTATCTATCTATCTCTGTTTACCAATAATCTCAGCTAATGCTAGTGAAAATATGCTATGGCCACTAAGTTTTTAAAACAGTTTACTCATATAAAAAATCTTTAATCTTGTACTAAACCTTCTAGAATCTTTTGTATTCTATTCTTATAGCTAACCTAATATTGCTATGACTGAGACCAACACTAGTAGTCAGAATATACTATTAAATTACTATGCCCTTATAGAGTTCACTTCAATCTTGGTACTAATTTTACAACATATCTCTACTATTTTAGTATTCAATTTAAGTTCTACTAAGCTTTCAAACTAGATAGCTTAGAAAAGCAAATTATAATCATACATCTCTAGTTTACATATTTGTCAATATGTAATCTTTTCTTTCAGAACAGATCTTAGTAGCCTGGTTAGTTCTATATAGCCTTTCCTCAAAGGCCAATTCTTTGCTTAGTATTATAAGTTTTAGCTTTGTTTTATAGGTCTAATCTTTACAATAGCACTATCAAAGGTTTAAGTTATCTCTCTACTTGGGTCTTCTAAGTAGACTTCTATTTTCCTACCTGGTTTTCATAATTTACATGACCTAAGAACTTATTTTGAGTTTATACTATTTAGTACCAGTTTGTGTTCTTTTGTACAATATTGTATAAATGCCTAAACCTTCCAGTCATGCTGATATAATATGGATTATAGGTGTCTTATTCTAATCAATCACAGAAGACAGTTAACTATAATATAGAAAGAATTGCAAATTTTTGTTATCATTAGAATTTGAACTCTAAATCTGCTACTTGGAAGTTGACAATCTATTCACTTCACTAAATTACTACACCCTTAATTATTCAAATTTTTATTATTAGTAGGTTTTAAACTTACTATCTATTACTTGAGGGGTTATAACTTATTCATTTTACTAAGTTAGCACACTTCTATTTAGAAATTATTTAAATTATTATAAATTAATAATTTATTAAAATGTAGTAAGTTAGTAAAATAGATAAGTTGTTAACTTTTTAAGTAGTAAATAGTAAGTTTAAAACCTACTAATAGTGAAAATTTAAATAATTATTTATGTAATATATAAACAGTATTATGGCAATAGAATTTTGTTAATCAGTTAGGATAAGATATCTGTAAAACAGTTACATCAGCATAACTGACAGGTCATGAGGCATTTGTATAATATTAAAGTTATACAGAAAAATGCAAACTGGCATTAGGTGATACAAACCTAAGATAAGTCCTCATAGTCATATAAACCTAAGAACTGAGAAGCCAGAACCAACTTGGAAAGACCCAAGTAAAAAGATAACACAGATGTTTAATAGTACTATTATAAAGGCTAGACTTAGAAAATAAATACCAATATAGAAGAAATTAGGCAGACAAAAATTTCAGATAAAAGGTACTACCAACCAGATTGTTAAAAGTTTCGAACTAAAGAAAAAGAACCTTGAAAGACAGACTCTGAGGTATCAGAGACAGGTTATAGTCTTTTCAAACTATCTAGATTGAAAGTCTGAGATTAGAAGCAAAGATATATTATAAGTACTAGAAATATGTTATAAAGTCAGTGCTAAGGTTTAAATAAATTTTGCAAAAATAAGTTCTGTTAACAAAAAGATTAAATGTAGATAATTAGTTAGTAAAAAGGCCTTTTGAATCCTTACAGTCAGATGATATACTCTAAAATATGTAACAGCTTAACAGATATACAGAAAAAGAAGTTAAGATTAGATTAAACAGCACTTAGATGTATAAGAACTTGTATGCTATTTGTCAGTATAAGTATAGAAATCAAAGTGTTTAAATAGGTAATTTTTTAGTAGATTGCTAATATGGCAGCTAGTATAGAACCTGCTATATGGGCAGACTATTTAAAATAAACAACCAAAAGTTGTATATGTAGTTAGTTGTATACTTATCTTGTACAAATTATATAATCATAATTAAAATACAATAAAGACAATAGCTGCTGATAACTATAACCTTAGTAAAAGCAAAAATAATAATAATAATAATTTATTATATTATCTTAAAATAATGCAATTTATAAAAATAATTTATAATATTTTAAATATTACTTAAAACATATAAAAATATTAAAATATTATTTACAAGATTTTTTTTAATCTGATTTTTTATTATTTCTTCAAATATTTTTTTTTTTTTTTTTTTTTGAACTTTGGCGACAATGCCAGTTGGTTTTTATTAGCTTTTAATCTTTTGATATAGTACAAATTTTATAGTTACATTTTAGAATCGATTATTACTAGTACTATATACTATCTAATTTAACACCACTGACTTCACCTAGTTACCCTTATGGCACCTAAGT